CCAACTATAGCTGAGACGAAGTGGAAGAGTCCACCTGACACTAATTGTTACACACAGTATCACCGATCAAGGTGGCTGGGGCTGACCGGGGACGCTATCGGGGACGAACCAGAGGGTAAACCCCTGGGCGGATCAACCGACAATCCTGGCCCCCTTTTTCGCTCTAAATTGTGCCACTACCGCCCCGGATCGACTACTTGGAATGGTCCAGAGCCCTGGCCCATTGTTCGGTCTTTTTACATAGCAAAGCTCCCTATTTGCCGAGACGGTTAGCACTTCGCTAACGTGTGGAACTAATTTCTTTTTTGTGCCGGCCTCCGTCGGTCTCGATCTCTTGTCGATCCATAAGAGCGTACGTCATGTTCGAACAGACAAAGACCCCAGGTGGCCTGTGCGAGGGAGAGTGACATCGTTTGGATATGAGATTTTCATCTCGTATGCGGGAGACCTAAACCCTAACCCCGATCAGGTAAGAGGAAGCTGGGTTTGGAGTCACCTTTGTCATCAAGGGGCTTGAACTAAGCAGTAAAAGGACATCGAGCTACTGCCATCTGCGGATGCATATCAAGATAGTTCAAAGCACTCAGTTATTAAAAGTAGATTAAAGCAGGTACTCCGTATCCCCCGTACGGAGTAGGTTGGATTCGGGTGTTTGAAACCCCGAAGTAGAAAATACCCGGGACAAGTCCTCCGTGATCTTTTAGTTAATTCATTCTTTGTTTTCTAATCGACATAAGAAAGATGCGAACAAAAAAACCAAATTGAAGAAGCAGACTTTCCGACGTCCACGTTGGCCTAGTGTAACCCTTGCTTCTTGCAGCTTCAGCAATGCAGGCGAGCTGTCTCTCTTCCTTCACCTCCAGAACTAGCTTGAAATTCTGTGAGAAAATTTTCCTGTGGAAATAAGCCTGAACTCCGGGGAGATACATACTTGATCGGAGCTCGGCAAGATGTCAAGGCCGGTATGTCCGATTGCTCAATCTCGACGCTCGGCCCTGGGTATGAGTATATGGGTACGCCAATGGACACGGGGCAATTGAGGGGCTATGAGCCACAATCTAGTAGATCCCGGGTCGAGCTATAGTCCTAGGGAGGTCAACTTGAAGTCTTGATAGCCTTAGCCGCTTGGCAGTCTATCAGGTGGTTACGTTACGTTGGCTGCGTCCATGGATCCGTAGATCCTGCCGAGGTGAGTAGGATATTTTGATTTTCTCGACAAACAAAAATAAAAATTCATCCCTGAAAATATTTGGGATCCAACTGCCCCCAAATTAAAGTTGACATACCCTGGTCTTTCATCCATGCGGATAATGCCCCTGCTTAGTCCGCTTAGTCTGCAATGATCTGCCCCAGGGCTGTCAACGGCTTGAAACCCTTGAAAAATTAACCTATAATTAATGCTTATGTATATCACTATGATTCACTATGATTCACTCCAAAATTTTACAACCCCAGCTAATACCAATCAATTTAGGATAAAAAAAAAACTAAAAAATAACCAAAAAATAAATAAATCATTCTCCGCACTCCGGATCGCCCTAAGACAGATATGGCTCCCCCCCTTCGGACCAAGCGGGATGGCGCCGAGAAGAGGAAATGATAACCGCCCCCAAAAAGAACACACTCGAATACGTTGCATCGGCTCTCTCCGACCTCGTTCCCTATACGCCGTACTCCGTATATTGCATTTCTTGAGCATCCATAACCTAGACGCGACAGATTACCTAAGTAGGTAAACGTTGAACGGCCCCACCATCCGGATCCGAAGAACGGAGCTCAGAACGTGCGATGGAGAATTATTATTTTTACTTGGGCTCTCGCTTCTCGATTTCTCTATTTCTCTGCTCCGTACGGAATACCTAGGCAGTTACGGAGTACGGAGTACTTTGTCCCAAAATCCCGCACATATTGAAGGTTATCACACCGGTCTACTCCGTACTCCGGCCCCAGCCGCTAAAACACGTAATTGGGGAATATCGGGGAAAGATCATAACCCGGGGGCCGACTGATATTATTTGCTACAACCTTGGAAGGATTGTATCATTTACATCCAATGGAAAATGCAAACCAGAAAAAGTTGGTAGATATACGGAGTACATAAATAGATATGTACATGCAGATTTTTATTTCCAGTTGTAACTGGGATATGTGTGGTCTCAGTTAATATAATAAGTTTCAGTCCTTCCACGCGTCAACACGCTCACACACCGAATGTTCCCTCAAACTCTTTCTAAATAGTTTCTAGCCTGAACCATAAGTCAAAGTCAAAATACCCAAAAGTTAGTTCTCACCGCAAACCAAAAAAAAATAAAATAAAATGAAAAATGAAAAATGAAAACCTTGCAAGTCATCCCATGTGGAAGAATGCGTTAAAATAGGTATGCATGTGGGTGCGGTAGCCCGTCGCGTGGCCGGAGTTAGCGAATTGTTTCAGAATTTCGACAAAAAAAAGGTTTCATTTACCGAGTACTATCTATTGAAAGACACGGAAATTTTCGAGGCTGATCGCTGCAGAGATGGCAAGAATGACAATTACCATACGGAGTACTCACACCGGTCTAGATACATATGCTCAAGAATTATACCGCATGAACTGAGCTATCTGCACACTGCACCGTTTAATCGAGGATTGTAGGTAGCTATCCCATGTATCATACGTCAGAGCCCCCGGGGAATAACCGAAACCCGACCACGAAACTTGTTCCTTCCCTTGTCGTATAATAATCCTATATATTGGTGATAAGCACTGAAGCACTGCTCCGTAAGGGCCACGGAATAGATCGTAACTACTTTCCTCAGCCCTGGCCCCATTAACAATCTAATGACACAATCGGAGGTCATGGTTAGATGTGTCAAGATGTCGAGAGGTGGAGGCAGGGGGGTCAAGTGAGCGCGTTTATGTTTGCTTTTTCTTTTGGCTTTTGCCCACATGTGCCACGACGATCTTCAACGAGTTCGGGATAGTTACATCCAGTCAACCAATCTGGATTTTCGCACTCCGTGTAAGGCGTAAATGCAATATAAAAATTCCTTAACTCAAAGTAACGGGTTTGGGCTAATATCATAACCAAATTCGGAGAAACTCCATGGGGAGTTACGGAGTTTCGGAGTTTTCTAAAAGAAAATAAGCATCGGAATACATATTAGAAATCACATTGTGACGTTAAAAAGATCGTGTCAAGGATCAGCACGTTCCCTTAGGTTTCATCTCCACAACGGAGGTAAGCACTGTATATAGATAATTTAAGGGAACGAGACCAGATTGGACAATCCCTTGCCCTAGTATGTATGTACTCCGTACTCCGTACAATATAATAACTTGATTCCAATAGATCCATCCCGACAGCCAAGCACGCGGACCCAACAGCCCTGGGCCGGGAAACAAGCTCTCTCCACCTTCCTTGATTTTGAATCATATAGAGATCGATTTCCTTGATTTCCATGGTACATAGCTTTTAGCTTCTGATATTGTTGGCTATCATACGCTATTATGCTCCGTGCTCCGTGCTCCGTACTGCTTTATCCAGGTGGAGTCCCCGTTCTCACCCCTCTCTTCGCCACACCCATGACTCGCGCACATAGATTGCTACCCGGGTTTTCTCGCCATCCATTAACAGACAACCTGTGGACGGCTAGCTCCACAGAGCTTGGATCCTCAAATCGGATGTGATTTCACATCCACTGCCTCCACAGTAATCATACATCGTATATCGTATACTTCGCACAGTATGCAGTATAGTAGTGATGCCCTACAACACACGGAGTACATAGTACTCCGTACAGTGGTTTGCGGTCTTTGGTTTGGGTTTACATGAGGCATATTAAATGCCGCATACAATATACATACGTATACTCCGTAACCAGCCGTGATCTCGGCAACTTCTCAGGCCGAAGTGATGAGAATGTCGCCGAATTTATTAAATCTCCTGTTGTAACCCTACTATAACTCTTTGGGATTGGTGCTCCTAATATCCGTGTATAATACCCCGTATAAAGTATGCAATAACAAGCCTATAAAAACTTAACCAACATTGGTAACTATACCGATGCTAGTGATGTAATGCTGTCCACGTAGTAACCAGACTCTAGCTATTGGTACGTCCATCCCACCCTACAATATATCTGGCCTACTATTTCACCCGGGCAAATTACAAGCTAGGTGGGACGTGCCTCGAACAGGGGAGGGGTAGCTCATCTATTCTTGTACTAATAATCTCCACGCAAATTATTTTGGGAGGATTTACTCCGTACTCCATCCCCCGTTCCCCCGTAAGAACGTGTAGAGATCTGCAGATATAGCCTCAATTTATAATGAGTCAATTTCCACTATCACCAGAAAAGCATCGGTGAAATCCGAAATCCAACTCCAACACAGAAAACCCCCAAATGTTTGCCTGTGGCGTATTGTCTAGAACCTGCAGCCACTATGCAACTACGATAATCTGAGTGTTCCCCCCCTTTTATTTGTGCATGCTTTTAGTTCCTTTCCCCGGTGGGATTAGTAGCTTGTTTTCTTTTTCATTGAAAATTATTGAGATTTCGGCGCTGTTGAACAATTCCCGGGCAGACACTAGGTACTCCACATTGGGTGTACTCTACGAAAGTACTCCATAGAAAACAAAGCAAACATGAAAAAAAAGAAAACATTGCATCCTGACACGATTACATTTGCGGGCGTGGCAGTTCTATTTGCTTTTTTTCCCTTGATATTTCACCCTCCTGCGCTTTTAAGAAGGGCGATTGATTTGTATTTTCCTTAGCGCTCTCGTGCTCTCCATATGTTGTATGCTGTAAGTGCAGACGCACATGCCAACGAAAGAAGTAAACATCCAGAGGTGGGGAAGCCCAGCTCCAGACTCTGCTATCTTTTCTCCCTCTTCCCATTGAGACAATGCAATAAAATGACTACATATGCGGACCCCATCGTATCGACCGATCCAGAGGTAAGAGTGACACAAAAGCTGAGATAGCAACACATGCGAGTCATGAAAAAGAAAATGTCACGGCGAGTTCATCCAATGAGCCGCACGACTCGGAGTTTGACTTGTGTTCGTTGTATCTGGTCTAATATCGGATGACTGTGGATGCGGGCGCGGGTGGCCTAGCGACTGATCATCGTTGGGTTCCGCAATTAAAGCCACTGGGGCCTGATTGGGCCGGAAAGAATTCAGCGTGTTGCGCTGCATGTGCAGGCGTCGTTGATCTTCGACATCCTGTCAAACAATATGACAGGTGCGTACTCCATACGGAGTGCATACAACGCAGCCATGGATTGGTGTGGAGGCGGTGTAAGTTGGAATAAACCGGAAGAGGAAAACGAGACGACTTGAGTCTGAGATGGGTTTGTACCGAGGACCTTGGGAGGCGCGTAAATAGGACGGGTGCTTGCTTTTTGCCTGCAGGGGCCTGTCGCATGGTGTTCATCCCCAGAAGGATAGGTGCATTAGTTACATTTGTTAGAGCCAACTTGAGAACCGACGGGTTTCTCGCCCCTGCGCACTTGGCGAACGCCATTATGGTTTCAACGGGCCCGACGCTACTTCGTTCGCCCCGCCAGGCATATCCAAATCTCGAGGCGTGAAAACACCCCCCTATACCGGCGCAGCAGACGGATTGCTCATCCTAGGCCGTTCAGCCTCATGCATTGAGTTGGTCGACGCGCGTGGACGCGACGGCAAGGAGATATTCTGTGCGGGTGGTGCAGCGGCCGCTTCAAGCTGCTTCCAGGGCTCTTCCTCGCCCTCGTCCTCATCGTCGCTGGAAGATTCCTCGCCTCGGCGGCCGTGACGTTGAGTCTCATCTCTGGATTTGCGTCTCTCGCGCAGCTGCTCCTTGTGTCGGGTATCTATGCAACTCAATTGTCAGTATTCTACTTCAAATATAATTCCAGGATATACACAGCAGCGTGACTTACCTCTGATCTCCTGAGTTTTGACAGCATACTGCTGGATCTCCTCCTTGCTCAGAACCCTCAACACAATCACATAATCCGGCCGCTCCTCGAACCGCTCATTGCCCGCTTCCAATGCCTCCGGATTCACGAGCCGCCGGTCGATCTTCGTCCAGCGAGCTCCCGGCGGGATCCCCTGCTTATGGGCGTCTTTGAGGGGAGCGACCCCCTCCCTCACTGGATTCGGTTCCTCTGGGAAAGCCGGGCGCGGAGCCTTGAGGATTCCCTTGGGAGGAGCCTCGGGCTCCTTTGGAGCAGCCGGCTCGACAGCAATAGGTCTTCTGGGGTCATCTTTGCCCGTGTCGACCGGGGGCGATCGTCGCGAGTCAATGTCGTGGCCATCCTCCAGCATGCGGTGGGAGCGAGAAGATCGGTATCCACGCGAGTGCTCGCGGTATCGTCTATGATGTGAGCGGTCCCGACTGCGGTCACGGTCGTGGTCGCTCTCGGTGTCGGTGCTGCTGTGCCTGCGACGTGCGGGCTCACGTCTGTAGTTTCGCAGGTCTTCATCTGACGTGTCGGCATCATCGCTGTGCGTCCGCCGTCTAGAGTGTCGCCGCGATCGACCGTGGCGACGGGCATTGGCGGGGTCCAAGTAAGCCTGCTTGGTTCTTTCATCGGCTGGAACCGCTTCGACCAGCTCCCGCGATGGGGGCTGGACGGCATCGTGGTCATGCTCGCCGTGTGGACGTCTGGCCTTGCGACGTGACGGGCGGTGGTTATCGTAGTCCGACATGTCGGAGTATCCGCCTCCCAATGCTGCTGTTCCAAGCCCCATAGTAGCCAACGCACCGACGTCATGCGGCTTGGGGTGGTGGTCTTCTGGATAGCGGTGGTCTCGATCGTTCGCGTGACGCGCTCCGTGGGCACGGCGGCGGCGACGCTCATCACGTCGGGAGGGGTATTCAGCGTCGGAGTCCTGAGGCATGGCAACCAGGGCTTGATCATGGAATCCATCATTTGATCTATGTGGGTCCCGATGGTCATCCTGGCCATACGTTGAGCTTCGCGGCCGTTCACGCCCAAGCTTGTCAAGGCCCCAGGATGTCGGGGGTGGGCCATGAGGGCGGTCTTTTCGTGCCGTCCAGTGGGGATTTTCTTCAACGCCAGTGTTACTGAGCGGCCGATCGATAGAGTATCTCGGCCCGCGATGGCGTGGCTTGACAGGATAGTCCCGGTCGAATTGCTCACGGGCGTTGGTGTATGAATAGGCATCAAAGTCATCGATGTCATCGCCTTTCCTCAGCCCGTCGTACGCTGGATAGCGCGGTGAGCGTGGGGGCGGGTGGACACGGTGTTGATGCGCACTGTGATCAGTCCTATGTCTGGCATCATTCCGTGGGCCGATATGACCCGTGTCGCTCGCATAGTCGGTGCTATAGATTCGGCGATGGGCGGGGTGCCGAGGGGAAGCAGGGACTACATGATGGCCGGAATCCGTACGAAAAGGGCTCGGGGTACGGCGGTGAATTGAGTGGTGCACGGGCGAGAGATGTTGACGGGATGTGGAAGGTACAGCCAGACGCACTGGTGTCTCGTAATCGGCTTGTGTTGCTGTGTTGCTTCTGTGTCTGCGGGGCTGGACACTGTATTCGGTGCGTTTTTTGGCGGACGCAGTCGGATCACGGACTCGATGGGATGATATTTGGTGGGCCTCGAGTTTCGATGGTCGCCCTGAGTGGTACCCAAAAGCACTGGTGTATCCAGTATCAGACGGGTAGTCGGCATAATCGTAGCGCCTTAGTGCATCATGAGGGTCGTATGAGGAGCTTAGTTCTACCATGCCGGTTGACGCTCTCATGGGGTCAATCATGGAGTGTCGGCCTCGGCTAGGAGACAGATTTCGGTAGTAACTCGACATTTTGAGAGATGCGATGGATACAGATAATGATAGCGCCTGATCGGTTGAAACCAGGTGTAACAGTGTTCTCCGGTCGGCTTCGGGGGATGAGTATTTAACAATCGGAGTCGGGCTATGTAGAAATGCCCAACCTGGTCGGTTGGCTTGAAGGCGAGGATTCGGTCAAAAGTCGAGAAAATCGGAGCCGAAATTGACACGAAGCCTGGAGCCCAATAGTTGCCCAACTCAACAATGAAGGAGGGGATTCAGAATTGTGTTGAAATGAAAGGTGTGAATAATGACGCAAAAGTGGGTTGGGGTCCACGGGTTGGACCAAATGTTAGTAAGAAATGCCAAGGAATTTCCACTGATGATTATTCAGTCAAGGGCCTTACCCAGGTGCCCGGTGGAAGTGGACAGCTCTGAGATGAAAGAAAACAAAAATAGAAAACAAATAATAGAAATACTACAAATACTAGAAGATGTATATAAATATGATTTCCATGGATCCAGAGAATGTGAACCTTGGGAACTCAAAGCTGTCAACCGTGGATGCCATGCGTTGTTCCCGCTCTTTAACTATGAAACTCCCTTGCTTCATATGCGCAACACTCCCCCGACAGGCGGTCAAGAGTCCTTCATTTTTGTTTCGCCCGGGTAAACCTTAGAAGCCATATATGTGGGTTCCAAGGTTTGAGAGTTTGAGAATCCACAGACGTTTTGTGATATCACTTGAGCCGCATTGAAGGGGAAAACTGGAGTTGTTTGGGTGAATCCACCCTACTCGATTGTTCAGAGGCATCTATTGAGCACCCAGTTTTACGCTCAGACCATGCCCGGTGAAGCGTTTTGTTATATAAAAGAGCTTAATGTGACTTAGTATCAAGGGCTTGGTGTATAGAGCAAGTGGTAAATTTTCATCTCATTTAGATCTATCAACAAAATTGGTTACACGAGGTCCCGTATATCGCCTCAAAACATTCATACATCTATCGACCTATGCACCAGCTCACCGGTTTACAGACTTGGCAGGCAGGGCCGGCCTCAAAATCGTTCTACGCACCTACACCTACATGATCCCTAATATTGATGCTTCTAAGGGACTTCGGGCTACCTCGAACGACGATACCGACGGCTTCGCGTCAACGCAGCAAGGGTAAGCGATCGGCCCTGCTCCGTACTCGACAAGTTAATTTACATCTTCTTTAAGGTGTTAATTTAAACTAAATCCTCCAATCTATAGTTAGTGGTTTCCACACTTAAGTTTGAATGTTCTAAGTGGATAGCAAGAATAAATTGGAAGATAAAAGGTTCCCTAGACGCCCTTAAATTATCTACTATAGCTTTTTATATCCCTCCCCCGTGGCTCATGGTTTTTCTGACTTCAATTCTTGGAAAATCCTCGCAATTTTCTATCTCCTACAAACTTTAAAGTAATCGACAGAAATAGACGAGTACGACAATGTATGGTATAATATGACATGTAAATTCCCTAAAGAACTAACTAAATTGACAAATTCAGCTCTTTTTCCAATCTGTGCGGACATAGCTGGTTAAGCAATGTATATATACCCGTGGACTTTTGTATGGTACCGTTATCATGGCGGTCCATTGATTTTCCGGTTTGTAAAGACTTGGTAATTTCCATCATGAATTATGCATGGTACTCGACAGTAATCAATATTAGCTAGTGACGATAAGATCCACTCGACCAGAAATAGGATGTCATCACGGGGTTTAGGGTGGCTTATGTCCGGACTCAGTAAAGACTAGACAGACGATATGCTCGATGACATTAAATCAACTTAGGGACAGGAATTCAAGATTCTAAGCAGGCAAAAGTAGTACAATTATAATGGTATATAGGTTTAGGTAAAAAATAATGGATTTGGTTTTTTCGGATGGTTCTTAAAAATAGCCCACCTTGACCTCAGTCACTTCAGAACTCGACCATAATCCTTTTAGTTATATACCAGGTCAGCTCAAAGTGCCGTCATTTTTATATCAGACGGCCTAAGAATCCGAAAACTCTTAGGCCCATGTGAGATTTTTGTCGAAACCTTTCTATTAGGGTGTCACTATCGATTGGGGTATTCTTTCAAACCTGGTAGGCAAGGGGAAATTGCCCTAAATGTTCCCAAATTGCAGCATAATAACCTCTTTCTACATATTCAACCGCCTTCTAGACGATTGGCAGTAAGGTTGATTACGCCTTCGTATAAGTGAGAGTGCTAGATCTTCTTTGAATCTTCGATGTATTGGTTGAAGGAGTATACACGAAATCGAGAAGACCAGAAAAGGGAGCTGAATTAAGTCTCGGGGAGGATATTTTTTATTGCCTGGATTCTGCACGGCGATCGTGTGTGGTAGATTGCATCATGATTTCGGATTTTTGACTGTAGGTGCGGCCTTCGGAATCAATATACTGCCAATTATCACACTCACGACCCACTCGTACCCCTTTTCAATGGGGCAGGCAGATGCACGGGGGAAAGTTATATCCGAGCCGGAGGTCTGGAAGCCGGCCATAGTAATGTTTTCGCAGGAGGAATTCTGGGAATACACGTTATGGTTATCAAACTAACCGAGATAGAAAACTTCAATTTGCTTTCTGGCAGAGCTTATAACCATATGTGCCTACTAAGTCTGGGAGGTCAAGAAAAGAAGAAAAGAAAAAAAAAAAACACATTGGTATTGATATATGGTACAGTTTATTGGGCTTAATAAGCTTGTATCTTTCTTCCAAGACTGATACAAGGGCTAGACGGAGGAGGCTTCCGACGACCCTATTTCACTCACTCGGGCTTCCGGCCGACCATAAGGTACATTGGGGTAAACAATTTCTTCTGGGCACCCTCGACCAAGCAATTAGCACCCAAAGACAGGCTGTCGCCAGTCTTTTGTGAGCCCTTCGGGAAGAGGCCGATAGTCTCACCAGCACCGATAAAACGATGAGCAATGCCACGACCCCACCAGGTCATACGAGCGATAAGGAAAAAGTCCCAGATCGATCCCATATGCTTAAAGGAGCCCGCTAGGGGGTAATACCATGGAATAGGATCAGGACGAGCAGCCATATCCTCGTGGTGAATCAAGTTGAAACCAGCGTTACGGAACGCAGTCAGGCCCTCAGAAACTTTAACCATGTTCGAAATTCCGTCACCCTGCTCGATACCGAGACGGATACGACGGTGCTCGGGATCATCGTTGTTGTAATCGTCCGTCATAAACCATTCGTAGACCGCAAATTTACCACCAGGCTTCAGAACTCGGAAGATTTCTTTATAGACACCCTCAAGATCAGGAGCGTGGACGGTAGCCTCGATCACATACACAGCATCGAAGCTGTTATCGGGGAACTTCATCTGCATAAAGTCGCCCTTAACGAATGCCATCTTATCCGAAAGTCCTTGCTTTTGGGCATAGTAGGTAGCGCGGTCGATTTGGTAGTCGTTGTTGTTTAGACCGGTAATATGGGCACCGGTAAACTTGACAATCTCGCGTGCGGGTCCACCAACACCACAGCCGACATCTAGCACATTCATGTCTTTTGTGATACCAGCCTGTAGGGCAAGGTAGTGCTCATGGCGGGCGATGGCCTGGTGAAAAGGCTCGCCGTAGGCGAAGCGGCAAAAGTGAAATGAGGTGCTCCATCCGTACTCGTAAAAGTCGGTCGCAAGGTTATAGTAGCTAGAAGAATATCGTCAGTATCAAGAAGATATATCTAATACTAGCCCTAGTTAAGGGGTAGATATTAATGATCAAGATTTCGCAGGACATACTGTCGGGTCAGAGTTGCGTACTCCGCTTTCCGGGCCTAACAATCGCAAGGCGTTAGTGATCAGATTATTTCACTAGAGATGGGCAGTATCAAACCTCGCGAATCTCATCTGTCTCATCGGTAGCCTGGTTTTCCCAATGTTTGAAGTACTCATCTATAGCAGCCTTCTGAGCGGTGGCATCCTTTCCACGCATAGCGGCAAGACCACCTTTGGCCTTGGCCGACTTGCCGTGGAGGACCTTGTTGAAGGCAGCATCGCGTGCGACATCCTCATGTTCCAAAGTAGTGGGAGTCATGGTGCAGAGAAGGAGTGATGGTTTGTAGGAGTTTGAAGAACGAGGAGAAAGTTAAGACTCTATCCAAAAAAAAAAAAAAAAAAAGACAGAGAACGAAGACATGGTATATATAGTAAATTGAGGATACTAGAAAAGCTTTTTTTTAAAAAAAAAAAATAAAAAAAATAAGGAAATTCTGTTGCAGAATGTAAGTATAGAGAGAAGACGAATACATCCGTGGATGAACCCTGCCCAGGTGGAGCCCTGGAGTGCAAGGCCAATTACCCAATCAAATGAGAGTACATCTAATCATTTTTTTGGGGGTGGTCACACCCTGCTCTTCGACGGAACAGGCACTTTCCGAGCTATGGGACGCGATAGTCAAAATTCGGATGCTGCAGCTCCCGTGCCTCAGGTGCCTCAGGTGCTCTTGGAGTGATTAGTCATGCTTATCTTCTGTGAACGTTCCACTGTTATCGATTTCATTTCCGTGTGACAGAAATAGACGGGACGGGTACGACAATGTATGGTAAAAATGACATTGTAAAATTCTCTATCTAACTAACTAAATTGACAAATTCCGCTCTTTTTCCAATCTGTGCGGACATAGCTGATTAAGCAATGTATATACCCGTGGACTTTTACATGGTACCGTTATCGTGACGGTCCATTGATTTTCCGGTTTGTAAAGACTTGGTAATTTCCATCATGCTTAAATGCATGGTACTCGACACGGTGCTTTCGCTATTGACAATCCTTTTTGCAATTCCGCCCTTTGGAACCGGCTTGCAATTGGCATCAATTGACCGAAGTGATGCTGCCAAATAGGTTAGACCAGATACAAAATCAAATAAAAATCAAATAGAACAAAACATTGCACTATACAGAGAATTGACGTAGGTTAGGCCTTGACTGCATTTCGATGACAATACAAATTCTATGAATGGTTTACTTGTGGCCCACTCAACTATATAAGTGCTCATGGTAATCATAACTTGGAGCATTCCGCCAGGCACCGATGGAGGTTTTTGCCACCTACGCCTACAAGCGCTATTTACACTGTAAGCTACTCAGTACTCGGATAATCCAGTCCCTCAAAATATTGGTGTAACTAAGGTTAGTCCTGAGCAAATCTATATGCTTATATAATACTTGGTGGGCGCCCGGCATCCATCCATAGTTACTCGGATTTACTTAGTGAGCAAAAAGCGGCAAGGTCTAAGCACTAAAACGGAAAGGGAAGGCCAATAGGTGGCAGGGGAAATCAAACTCCGTACTCCGTACATGAGTACCTTAATACTACGCAGCCACGAAAAGGTAATCCTATAGAAAGTTCTCTCTATGAATTACGAACCTCACCTCACCCCTAACCACCACATTGCCCGCACCAAGGGTATACACAAACTGGACCACCTATAGGCGCATTTATTATTCCCACGAACAGCGGGCACTGCATGGGTACTTTCTTGGCATATGTAACCCACGACACACAAAGAAACCAACAAGAGCTACCGGGCAGGGCGACCAGAGTTACTGAACAGGTCGAGTCCCTCATCATGCCCGATTCACCCTCGCACCCGCGGGAAAGGCTTGGAGTCAGACACCCGAACCGAGGCGCAGACTCTGCAGAAGAAACCCGCTGGAACCAAAAACCCGGGCCTAGCTAATAACCCATTTGTTCAAGTACCGAATATGACCCCACCCGACCACCCAGTAATAGAAGCCCTTCATTCAATATGGATGGCCCGCCTCAGGTGGAAGGAGGGCAACGCGCCTACAACCTCCATCATGACTCGATCACCTCCGGAAGACAATATGTACCTAGTCATTAACTCCAGCGCTAATTACTAAAGCTTCTGGATCTCCAGTATGCCCGGTCCCGTCGCAGATTACCATATCCCGATGCCCAAGTCGTCGGTTACTAGGCGCAGTTCTGGCCGATCACGACCCGGGTCGCGGGTGAACATGTCGGCATCAAATAGACGGGTGCTACCACGTTGTTTCTCTCTCTCTGGCTGGTCTATTTTGCGTTCACTTCACCGCTGCTTAAGCACTGCCTGCTGCTGTTCGCTGTGACCACCTGTCCGCTGCATATCCAGCTCCCTATGTTCGGGGCTTCGACTCTGTTGTCGTTGCTTGTTGGCTGCCGGAGTCGCACCTGTTCACCTTGGGTTTCAACTGGGATTCTATACTTGGGATTTCAGTGCTGTAATGGAAGCCCTGATTACGAGCGCCTGTGTATTGGTCTTGCGATATAAAGATAGTCTCGTCCATGGCTGGTTTGAAAATATCCTCACAGTGCTTCATACAATCAGACTTTGGCCTCATATAACTACATTTACGGTTCCAGTCCTTCGGCCAACATTCAAAAGCTTCAGGATCTCCACGATCAAAATATCACAAATCAAACTATCCTCCCTACCAATCGGTTTATCCATCTGAAACTTCACGCCACTATGCCTTTCTACACCATGTCAAACTCCATGTCCAACGTCTTATCCAACAACATCTTGGATACCAAGGCCGACAGCGAAGGACAGAATTCAACTCCTCTTTTGTATGGCCGGCGCTTGCCCCAGCCCAACAATCTCTCTTATGACGATGCCATGAGCAACCCGCCGGTGTATCGTGCACGATCAACTCTGGCTCCGTTCCCGGATGCCATATCTGCTCTCGTGCCCGGGCCCGACTACCTGTCTACCGGAGCCCCAAGACAGGTGGTATTATGGGTGAGATGCTGCGGATGCAAGAATTTGGTCAATCCTCACCTAGCGCCGGAGAATAAGTGTCCAATTTGCGCGCATACTGAGTGCAGTTCCTGCGGCAAAGAGAATGTTCCCTAGTCTAGGATAGACTGTACGGGGGGCTTGTTGTGTCTGGGATTCTGAGATTTACTTTCTTTCATCTCTTGCATTTGCTTTCCTTTTCTTGGTTTTTGGATGTCATTTTCACTTTTTTCCCCCTTTCTTTTTCCCTTTGTTTTTTTATTGATCGTTCTTTTGTTTATTGTCATGGGGCATTGGTGCATCTCAGGGTCTCGAGCAGTATCTATAGACGATTTGCCTTGATCCTGGATGACGTTCGGACACAGTGCCGATGATGCGGACGATACGCCTGCCCGAACAAAAGTCACAAGCATTGAGGAGTCATATAAATGGCATAGATAGATAGTTATTTGTTTGGAATTGCGAAATACTTTGCGGGATATATATATCGTCTACCACATATGTAAAGGGTACCATATCACACCTGTAGACTTCTTAGATGTTCTCTCATTCCAAGATAGTAGAGCTCCCATATAAAAGGGCGATAGATTATTAATAGAGATATTAATTTATCTAGGAACCTGGCTAGACGTTGAAGGAATTGAAGAACCGATTCCAAATGCAGGGACAATGGATACCCCAAACAAGTATAAAGTTACGCTATGGTAGGTATAGATAGATGGTGATTAAACTGATTATGAGTATCCATAGGGATTTGTGTTTTCCTATACTGTTACACTGGCAGGCCTACCTATAAAGGATGCCGAAAGATCGAAGGTCTGTTTAGAGATATTTGCACAGTTGCCAATGCGGAAATATATTGCTAGGGTCAAATGGCAAAGGACTACATTAGCATTGGCCTTATATAGATTTTTTTTTCTAGCTACTCCTACATTCTACAACTTCTATCTCATGTCATTGGATTAGGGGCAACTTATAAATACGGGTAGTGAAGGAGTATTGAGCAAGAAATCACCGAGTTGCCCTGAACGGCTTAACGGATAGATTATAATGGGAGAGCATACGCATCTTCGCCTAAACTCTTTCTGTACCCAAAAACAAAAGTTTCTAGTATCAACTTTGGAAGAACCTTTGAAAGCCAATAAAGTGCCGACCTTGGGAGGCCTATACGTAATAACGACGACATTCAGCCCTACAGTTGCCCGACGAGGACTTTCAGTCTATCGGAATATAAATTACCTTCACGCAGCCAGATCAATAGTGTATACAGTGGGGTCATATTGCATTAATTATGAAGGTATCCAAAACACGCACGAAGCAAGTGCCCCGAACTATTGATCGCTAGGAGATTTTTCCCGGTGGCTACGCCCCGAATGTGGGGGCTGCGGAACAGCAGCCCCGTTCTCGGGCGGCGGGGCCAGTCCAGCCTCCAGCCGCAAGCGGGTCACCACGGGTCCCAGCGCAAAATTACTCTCCATGCTGCTATGGTCGGCACACGGGCTCTTCTTGATCGGCAGCAGCCAATCGAAAATGTTGTATCCCATGACCTGCTGGAGGTTTTTCAATGGGCTACCTAGGTCGAAGGGATTCTCGCCCGGCAGAGTGTGGAGGATGGCGAAGACGTGGCGTTCGCCTGAGGGGTTTGTTGTTTGCGGTTGGGTTGGAGTTGATGGTGCTTGTAATGGGTAAGAGACCATGCGGAATGTCGGAGCCCAGGGGGACTCTGCTACCCAGAGTCGCTCGAGGAGGTGTTCTGGGACACGGATGGCAAGGGTCCAGACGGCACTGCGTCGGTTTAGGTTTTCGATTGTTGTGATATTGAATATGCCCATTTGGACTGAGCTCAGGGTCATTCCGGCGGTGAAGAAGGCAAAAAGGCCGCTCCTAGTGGTTTTTATTAGACTTCATGAATCTCCCAAGTATCCTGTGTATATGAAAACTTACAGTCCGATACAGACACACCAATGGGGGTTTACTCCTCCGGTCTGGTTGAAAGGTTAGTAACGGGTTCTTGGTGAAGAATTGGTATGGTAGCTTGTGGAAGTCTCACCTGGCGTCGGATCTCCGCTGTAAAATAAGCACACACTATAAGGGCAAAGGTACAGAATATGCAAGTATAAGCAACGAATTGAATGAAGAATTTGAACGATGTCTCGGACACCACGCCTCCAACCCTGCATTCTGTCAGCTGGATACTGGTTTTGCGTAAAGTCGTTGTTATCATACCAAGGACAAAAATGATCCATTTTGCGCACACATCGACCCAACTCGCGACAGTGGTGCGCCCTGTCCGTCTTGTACTGGCAGCACGTGGTGCACCACAGGGGCCGGCCATCCGCCTGACAGACGAAGACATCTTTTGTGTAGAAGCTCTCCAGCCCAGGATCTGACTGACCTGCGGTGCCTACAGCAGTAGAGTTCGAGCCTCTCTCCACATCCGCGTCTGCCCGGATTGTCTTCTCCGGATCGGGTTTGCGCGTGCTTTTCTTCCCACGCCGGCGCTTCGATTGCTTTTCGTTCTCGTCATCCGCCAGTTTTTGTTCACCGAGGGGAAGGTACCCGGGATTCCACAGGACTTGGTAATAAAGATGCAGATATGAAACGACCATAGGGATTAAAAGGACGTAATAGATCGCGATGATCGCGGCGCCAGCGCCGACTCGGGGGCCTCGGTTATGGGAGGGTAACGGATGAATTAGATAGTCGACTAAGTTTCACATCGTTAGTTCCCTGGAAAAGAAGTCGACCACATTCAGGGAAAACTCACTGCATAATGGTTTCGTGACCGCATAAGAAGCGTACACCACAGCGCCGAGTAAAACAGGCGGAATGAGCCTGGATACTACGACGTTGGCGCGCTTCTGCGCGGGAGACGCCATATATACGGAATCAATACAGCAATATCAAATGCATAGGATTTTAATGAATGCCCTCGGGGGACCTGCAAAGGACCGGATTGAGTAGGGAAGGTCGTTGAATCAAACAGTGCAAACCTGACGTAATCGGAACTCTCTGGCCAGGTGCGGTGTCCACAGGCCCGTGTCCCTGGGGTTCGTTCCAAGGATTCCCGTTTGGATCCCAAGGATCGGGGCATCGGTAGAACCTTGAAAACACTCTGGGCTTTTACAGCTTGCCTTGCTTCAACCTCAGCTATCGTATCCACACGGTAAATTTCGGGCCTACTATTACTAATTCTATATTTCTCAGCTGCGACCGTCAGATAAGGCCTCACAAATGTCAGACCACCTCTAAACTCTTTTTAGATCTTGACGGTGTTACGGTTGTACTCAATAGAGCTCGATATGGTATCTAGGAAGGCACATGGTATGGAATTTCCGTGGATCCACGGGTGAGAATTTAAATTAGAAACCAGCCGTTGAGTTTCACAGCATCTCGTAATCTGTAATTCGTAAGCAATATCCGAAGAAAAAAGAAAAGAAAAAAGAAAAGTGCAAAACAACTATGATGAAACGAGTTTTTGATTTTTTTTCCCATCATATTCAGGTTGTCAGAAAACGAAGCCTGGGTGACTTAGGCAACACTGCTCAGGGCGCGGATTCTGGGGCACCTGATTCGAATGACTCTTCATTTTGCTTTTCGAAGCAGCCGGTGCCTGGAAAACCAGGGAAGAGTGGAGTATATCGTACCCCTTAGAAACCAATTGATCGAGTTCATTTACCAAGGCATCAATGTCAAAAGGAATTTGAGAATTTAGACCGTTATTTCGGAGCACCCGAGTGACCAGAGCCCGTTGACGCACATACATTCTCCCGGGTAAGCCAGGCCAACTGAGACGGTGTGAGCATTTGCTTAGCCCTGGAGAATAGTGGACCCGTTGACTCAATACGCCTAATCTTCAGAGATGATTCATAGATTCCTCACATTCTAGGCACAACTGGGGTGCTCTGGGCAATGACAGAGCTCCGGACTACACTAAGCCACTGCCCTGGGCAACCCATCTCGCGGGTGATGTGCAACTAAGGCCAGCTTTTACCCCATCGCCCAGATGAGTGCCCGGGTAATGAATTCGGCCAATTACAATGTGGATCTCACGTCGCAAGGCAGCCTGGGCTGTTGACTGTTCTAGGAACGCTGCCTTGCGCTTCTGCTTCTATTACATCTATTCTAGTTTCTTCACGTATATAGCTCTCGTGGATCCCCCATGCTGAAATTCAATTCCATCTCAAACTCAATCAACACATCCAACTATCGGTTCAGCAGGACCTTCCCGCTCTACAACTATAAAGACCTTTCAACTCATCTTCCACCAAATCTTCCATCCTGTCTATAATATCAATCCAATCTATCCAACTCATAACATCAATGGCGTCTCTGTGGTATTGCTGCGGTTGCCACTTCGGCCCTCACAACTCGTCTCTCTACGACGCCTGCATCCAGTGTGGAAAAGTTCGTTGCGCTCGATGCGTTGATGAGAAGGTCTCCGACAGTATGAGCATCCACTCGCACTCCCACGACAGCAACCCGGTCTCCGCGTACCCAACTGCCATCTCATTGCACTCGCCTCGCACCCCAACCTTGAAGTCCACAGCCATGCCCATGGTTGTACCAGAACTTCCCGGCCTACGGCCTCTACCACGGACCAACTGCACGGATATCTCGTCATCCTCACTATCTGGAACGAGGCAGAACGGTCCAACCTACATGTATATCTGCTGCGGATGCGGAGACGGTCCCAAGATCTACAACATTCAACCCCAGTGCGTGTCATGCAATCACATGGCTTGCAACAATTGTGAGGAAGTCAAGTGAGACTTTTTGAAACGCCGTCTCGCGGGCCGAGACAGGCTACTACCTACGAATACAATGGTAAGCGACTCCGATGCTCACTCAGCATTTCGGTGGTTCTTGAAGCTGACAGTTCGGCATAGTGTTTCCGAACTCTACTGTTACTTGTTTTTCTTTTTTTGGATCTCCTTTTCCTTATTTCTAGAATGTTTTTCTATGTTACGCAAAGCGGGTTATGGGTCATGAGCATATATGGTGTAATGCTTCTTATTTTTGTTAGACTAGAAATTTGTATACTTGCGGTTTCTTGATTGGGTTTAGCGCAAGGCCAGCGGGGCTGGATTCCCTCTGTCTGCCTTGGCCATTTTTGATTTTCCAGTTTCATTTTCATTTTGATATGTTTCTTTATATTTTTTTATTTATTTATGGAATCAATATTATGGTTATTACCATCATCACTACCACTCTGTCTCGTATATGCGCCAAGCACTAGAGTCATCGTGATCTTCAAGGTATGCAGCAAACCCTGCTCTGAGCCTCTCATGGGCCCGGGCCTCAGGTATCATGGTTGGTTGGAATAATTTGCGGCTCAGCCAAATATGGACCCCGCCATGCTGAGTGATGTACTCTGTTATGCAAGCCAAGATGAACTAGTCTGCTTCTCCTGTTCTTGTTACCGCTTTTTTGCTCTGGCATCTGTAGCAAACAGCCCTATGGCCCATACTGAAAAAAGCGGTCTTGGTACTCGGAAGCTAACACGGACGATGTCTATTAATCCTGGTACTCCGCTTCTCTTTGACCTCGATCGTTTTAACCTTTGTGACCCTTGAGACTTCACTTATTTACGGCTTATTTTCTTACTCTGACCTCGACTCAGCCCCCCTATGGCATGTTCCATGATGTTATTCCCATTTCTCCATATCCCGTCTATCCCGTCTCCTAACTATGTCATTGTAGTAGCCCCCACCTGGGCACTTCCAGTTTGGACGTTGGGGCTGTGCTGGACTGTGCGCCCCGGACGGATTATGCTTGGCTTTCCCCTCGACTTTGTACGTGCGCGCTTGTTGTCCCATCATCCTGAAACTCCCGTGTAAATTCGCGTAGACGCAAATTACTTCCATATCCACAACTCATTTTCTCTATTGGCATTTTCCTTGGCTGTTTCCTCGCGCTTTCAATATTTGCCCGGTCGCGGACTTCACCCTCGGGCGCTGGGCGCGGGATCTATCACTGGCATAGCGGTATGGCTATTATGGCTATATGAACCTAGGATATACTCTATACACAATGTCAATAGAAGACGAGGAACATATGTGACTGGAAGCGAGGAAGCCCCGGACCAATCAGTAACAATCTGTTGAATCCAAGACATCCGGTCCGCTGGTCTGCCTTGCCCTGACTCAACTCGTATAGATATGTTTCTGCGATAGGAAAAATGTCATAGTTGCATTGCATCTTTGATTAGTAGAGATAATATTAAAAAATGTCAAACTCACTGTATGCACTATATTACTTTGCTATTATTATCTCTGAATTTCTGAATCTTCTTGAAACCGTTACACCAACCCTGGCCCCCATCTCCCGGACTCTGCATCCTATACTTAGCATCCACTAGCCGCAGGAACCCACATCTTCTTTCTTCTTACTTCGTACTTTGTACAGGAATGAGTCTTTTTTCCTGTTTCGGGTCCGGACTTGTTTTTAAAATTTGACTTCTTTTCAGGCTGGATTTCTCAGCTAAGATGGTCACAGCTGAAAATATGTATCTAGCACATTTGGGGGCTAATCTCTTTACAGATAGGACTTTGTCCAGGGTATTATTTTATTTTATTTTCTGGTCTATTCTATTCCTTTGGCCATGCATGAATGAGTCAATGGTTTTAGCTTGTTTTACAAAGGGACATGGTGTATCTTAGAGGACAGATGGATTGAGTCAGAACTTATCCACAATCCAAGCCAGTTACGAGGGTACTTGGTGCTTATTTCACTACTACCAAATAGACCAATAGTTGGATCAAACAAAAAAGATACATATTGACTGACTGCTATGAATATGTTCTGTGAAACCCCACCGATATTCTAATGGTACAACCGCACCCTTCAGTGTGCAGATTAGCAGTAGAGCCAGAGCTCTCCCGGAGCTGAAACTGCCGAATCTGCCGAAACTGCCAAAGTTACGACCAGCAGCTGAGATGCAGACGCCTCAACACCCTTTTGTCGGGTCACTAGGCAATGAAAGGCCCAGAGCCTAGATTCAACAAAAAAAGAAAGAAAAAAAGGACCCAAAGAGCGCGAGGCTCCCGATCGCGTAGATCAAATGCAATTGGAATGCAGGAAAGAAAACACCAAATTGGCTAATGATGCAGAGGAAAACCAGGTCATGAACGCGAGACCCTTGAAAAGAGGTGGTGGCATGGGATATTGTATTGAAAAAAAAATGGTGGCATCATGGCCATGATGAGGGTTGTCTGAGTCCATGTGGTGTGATAATGTTTTTCCCCCGCCATCGAAGTTCTTTCGACGTCGGTGTTCACAAGACTGATGGAAGACAGCTCACCTAGAGAGGACTCTTAAAGAGTCCAGTGAATGAGGGAGAATGTTACAGGGACAAGACACGCGACGGGTCTTGGAGGAAGCGCCTACGGTATGCGGCTATCTCAGAGGCCACAGTGTTGAAATCTTTCACCTTGTCACGCCGTAAGTCGTTGATGATCTCTTTCAGACCAGCGAGATATGTTTCTTTTTCTTCTTCGGTTTGACCTTCTCGAACAGAGCCCATCTGGACGAGAATCTTGTCGTCTGTCGAGGTTAACGGCTCTGTGGTCAGCATTCGAACAGGGTAAAAAAAAGAGATGGCAAATGGACTGAAAGGAAAGGAAGCAGAGGCAAGAGACTAAGGCAGTAGAGCAATAAACAGAAAGTAAAAACAGACTAGATAGTGCAATACGCCGGTGGGGGAGCTCGAGGACGAGGTGGGGTGTTGCACGTTGTTCATGTCGACGCACCGCTTAGAGTCATGTCTCGAAGATGCTGAAACTCGCAGGATCGGTCATTGCAGACACCCCCGGCCAACTCATATGGACACATGTATTTCATGGAATCGATATTATGACTGTAAGTTAGCGAGCGGTAGCCACTCGGAACGTCTTCGGCATAATGCGGGTGGTAGCGATAAGCTTTAAAAGTTCGCAGTGGGCTTGTGTATGGCGTGAATCTTTGCCCCGAAATAGCGGGCGATGCTTCAGTCTAGATAGGGGTTAGTATGGGGTCACTAGAAACTTGCTCTGAAAAGGGGTAGTGTTCATACGCCAGGGGCGCCAACCTGCAAATCCGACCGAGGTAATGGGTCTGACATCTGAGGCGTGCTGGTTAGTTCTTCATCAGCTTGAGTCAAGTCAAATGATGGTGCCGAGACCGTCGTGTTTTCTACGAGACCGGGAAGAGCTGGGCTGAATGGAGGAGGGCTGTAACTGGAGCCTTCAGACTGTGCTTCAGCATCAGGCTCTGGGGGCTCATAACCGTCGGATTCCGTAGACTCTTCACGCTGAGATTGTTCGCTAAGGGGATGTTGAGAAACATATTCGTCGGCAGAAGCTGCACTAGGATGGGTGATGGCAGAGGGCGAACTTCGAGACGTCGATCGCTCTGAAGAGTCAACCTCCATGGGCTCTGAGAATGACGGCACAGCAATAGGATCGAGATCGGCCTGAGCCGGCGAAGTAGCAGGTTCGTCCTCACTCTCGCTGGACGAATCAGAACTATCACTGCTGCTGTCATCAGATTCTTGCATAGCAGACCCAGCTGAATCGGACTCGAACGAAGTCGATGCCTGTGCTGTGCTGTCGATCGCACCATCTGCCACTTCCTCAATATGGGCTTCTTCAACCGGTTCTCGAGTGACCGCGCCTTCGGCTGATGCGTCTAGTTCGGCAACAGGGGCGGCCGGCGTAAGCGTATCAGGGGCGGCCGTCGTCGGTTTAGTAATTGAAGAATCTGGGTAATGGTTAGTTGAAGCGCAAAATTCTCCCTTGAAAATACTCAAGAATTATCATGTTCCAGCAAGATACAGAGAAAGAAAAGATCGAAAGAACATTACCTTCTTCAGAAGTAGCTGCGACCACGCTAGATTGTCCACCGGATGGTGACGATGCCCCAGACTCATCCAGGGTGCGAGGTGACTGGGTTCGGCTGGCAGCGAGCTTTGATTTCCTTCGTAGCTCCAGCTCCGCAATCTTGCGGCGCATAGCTTGAATTTCCATATCTTTAAGTCGAATATCCCCTTGGTCACTGAGACTAGAAGCTCCTTGTGGTGTAGCCGTCGAAGCCCGGGTGGCAGGAGGATTTGATTGGACAGTAGGCTTCACAATGGTCGAGGTCACTATCGGCACTGGTTCCTGCTCTGGGCTCGAATCCAACTCCATGTTGTCATCCTCATCATCGCCATAAAGTGATTCATCGTCGCTGATTGCAATGATGAGTTTATCGGCAGGGTCGAACCGAGTGGCAGCCGGGTTAAAATGCTTCTTCGGAGGTGCAACTGGCTCATCGAAATCGGACGCCCGCGGCCGCTTGCGTTGGGGAGTTCGAGATATAGGTGTTGAGTCAGGGTCCATCGCATGTGCCGGGTCAGAGGCAGGAGTTTCATGTGGCTCCTGCTCCAACCCGGTCATGAGAAGTCCTGGAAGACCGGCAGAGCGACGAGATTCAGGCACAGGAGGTCGGAGAGGAAGCGGGTGTTGAATAGCTGGTGCCGGAGATTCCAACTGGACGGGTGGCAGATTTGCCTGAGCCAATTTCTGGGTCTTCAGCAAAGTTTGTCTTTTGAGTTCTTCAATTCGCTGCCTTGCCAACTCCGTTTGGGCTTTGCTCTTTTCCTTCACGAGAGCTTCTTTTGAAACTAGACGGGCTTCATCAACTCGTATAGCGGGAGGTGATTTCGCACTGCCAGTGGGTGAAGTCTCTTTGGATGTCGTTTTGGCAGCTTTCTCAGCCAGCATCCGGGCGATTAGTTCCTTTCGCTCTAA